CAGTTTTTATAACTAAGAGTTGAAAATTTAAAACAAAGATTCTCTTAAATAATTCATACTGTAACCAAAAAATCTAAAAAATATATAAACACACTTATTTTTTACAGACATTTTAATTTCAAATTTAGACAAAATTTCATATTTAAACCAAGAATTACGATTTTAGTTATTTTGTTGTGATTGAATAATACTATTCGTGGGTACTTGAAACTTCTAAAGTGTACTATTATATATCTATGATAGTATCACGGTTTTTGTTGATGTATAACGCGTTATAAGTATCTAATGGATATTGTGATATGATTAATTTGGAATTTATTATAGGTACCTATTATAGGTCAATTTTTTGTTTAATACCATAGATATGTATATAATATGCCTTATACATAGACTGACATACCATCACCGCTCAGAATCGTTTTTCTTATACAATGATATTATATCATTGAATTCAAATTTAATACCATCCATTATACAGTGACCCACTTGTAACCTACTGTACAGCAGAGCGACACCCACTTGCCCACCTTTTTTTTATTTCTAAACCAAATATTAAATTATAAAAATCGAACATATTTATTACTTGGAATAATCTGACATTAAAAATAATTAATACTTATCGAATTTTGTGATTTAGTTTTAAATTATAATTTTATAATATATTTTTTTATAATTATAATTGATGATAATCATTACTTAATAAGTTAAAAGGTCTCTTGAACGTTTTTTTTTTTTAGATGAGGGACGTTATTTATTGGACCAAGAGAGAATAGATTAGAAATCAGATGATTTTGTAGTTGTTATGGAATAGTTTGTAAAGTTTAGATACTAAATATTTAGCCCATTATAATTAAGGAAAAATATAATTATAGATATAATTAAATAGTTTAATCATAATACAACAAAATAAAACTTTATTCCAAATAAATTTTGTTTTTTTTTTTTTAATAGTTGTCTTGAAGAATGTTATACTCCAGTTTTCAATCGATTAATTCCCCATGTTGCCTCGACTGCTTCAGAGTTTTTTCGTTAATTTATTTTATGTCAGACTTCTAATTTATTAAATTCATCTGCTGACTAAAGTTTGCTTTTATTTCGTAAAAAAAAAAAAAAAATGTTGACTTGATAAAACCTAACAAATAACGTGGCAATATACATATTTAAAGACAAAATACCACGAATAAATGAATACATTACTGTTGTGATTTATACGAAATCTTAAACAAATGGAAAACCGTTTCAAAATTAATTGCGCTCTGTGAGAATAAATTCGCATTCAAATAATTTTAATGTGAACGCGTGTTACATTAAGGTGCGTTTTAAAAATTAAATTTGTGCAGGAAACGTTTTTAATAAATTACAAGAAAACTCAAAAGTTTTGATAATACTATTATTACTATGTCGTCGGTGGCGTACGCTAGAGCGCACAATTAATAATAATAATAATAACATAGTCCCGCTGTTTAAGAATCGGACCCAATCGTATTCGTTGGATACTTTAATGTCATTGTAATCTAACAGCGAGCACAGTATGCTTCATATGTGGTTTTTAGGGATATTATACAGAGTGATTCACCACCAATCATGCTCACCACCATATTTTCCTTAAATAATGCATTTTTTGAAATTCTGATTACTGGAATTTTTAAACGCACTCATAGACCATATTTTCCAATTCTTGAGATTTGTTGAGTTACTTGTGGACTAAGGAGTATCCTCCGTGTATCCAGTGACGATAAAAATTTTTCATTTTTTTTAAATGAGAACCCTCTTTTTAATTGTGAATTATAAAGAGGATGATTTTTTTTTAAATGTTGGTGCACCTTATCCAAAATTTGAACGAGTAGCTTTTTGATTGTTAAATGTTTATTTCTTACTTTATAGTTTATACTAGAAATTATAGTTGTTGTCCTAGAAAATGATTTAACAAAAACATAAAATAGATGTATATTTGTTACATACTTTACGTATGTAGTATTTAATGTACTTAGACCATTTTTACAAATTATATAACTGTCAATCGATCCATATTGATTACTAAGATTTTCTAATCTCCATACCTCCCATATCTTCCAAACCCTGCATTATCATGGATCCTTCATCCTTAGTAGGAACACAAAGTAAAAAGTTAAATAAATCAAAAATCACTCTTTCGAATTTTGAATTTGGTACGTCAACATTTTCAGAAAAAACGTCTGCTAAATAATTTCTAGTAGACGCAGTGTGGATATATTGATTATTTGAAAAACAGCGAAGTTTGCTCTCCGCCGGACCACTTTCCATTAAGTGGTACAAAAAATCTCAAGAATTTGAAAATACGATGATCTTTGTGTTTTGAAAAAATTCCAAAAAGCCGATTTTAAACAACTGTGTAAGGGAAAGACGGGGTGAGCATGCTTGTCGGATCGCCCTGTATATTATGATATTATTGTATTGTATTTTTCTCGAGTTTTTGTGACCACGCGACGATCAGACGCGTCATAGTCATAATATGATATTTAATGATATTGACACGGCGCTGGGTGGCAATGGAACGAGCATTACATTATATTATAGTGATATAAAATTGTATTTTTAACAAGCCACGATCGCATTTCGACGGAATAACACAACATCGCCGTGTACAAGTCACAAGACGTAATATTATTGTAATAATGATAAAATAGTAACAATACCGCGTTGGCGTATATACCGTCTGTGTCGGTTATAAGTTATACCGCGGACAATCTCCCACGCGTAGGTATTATTATTATTTTTAGGGACTTATTGCTATGAGCATATTATATATTCTGCAGTATAGTATTATATGATATTGTTGCAGAAATAACGCGAACAGTTTCGAGACTTGTGCAAAGTCATGTGCTCACGTGCTGTTCGAAATATCAAATAATATATGTTATATAAGCAGACGTGCGGTAGACTAATAGTGTATACAGCGTACCTATATATATTATACTGCAGGTGACAACAGTTGAACCACATTATATTGTTAATTAGGAAGGTCCTCGGATCCTATGAGGACAATTATTCGAAACGATGTCGAAATTCTTGGGATTTTTTTAAAATATTGGCCCAAATTTAAATGGGGTTTCGCCTTTGAGTACTACATATTTTATACAGTTATCATGGCCTCCGATATAGACAGGTATTATTATATTTTATTACTATGATATCAGTACATCAAATGATAATATTTTTATGACGTGAGGATTTTCTAGACTTGTGCAAAGTCAAGCTCGCGGAAGTCCACAATCTCACTTGTTATAAGTTATAACCAATCATGTGGTCATGTGATATGTAAATACGGTGCCCTAGTATAAACGCCCTATAATATAGAAGTATTAGGAAGGTCCTCGGATGCTATAAGGACAGTTCAAAACGATGTCGAGATTCTTTGGATTTGTTTAGATTTGTTTAAAATATTGGCCCAAATTTCAACGGGTTTTCGCCTTTGACTACAACATATTTTAAACAGTTATTATGGTCTATGATATAGACAGGTATTATTATAATTATGTATGACTATGATATCAGTATAAATACACATATTATGATAATATTGTTACAGAAATAAAGCCAACAGTTTCGAGACTTGTGCGAAGTTATTATTATATAATATATATATATATATCTTCACCGTATATCATAATATGTTATAAACAGACGTGCGGTAGCCTATAGTATACACAGCCTAATACCTATATATAATTCTGCAGGCTACAACAGTTGAACCATATTATATTATTAAATATTAATTTCGGAAGGTCCTCGGATTCTATAATGACAATTATTCAAACAATGTCGAAATTCTTGGGATTTTTTAGATTTGTTGAAAATATTGGACCTAATCTCGAATGGATTCCTTCCTTTGAGTACTTACAACATATTTTATATATATTTATAATTATTATGATTTCCGATATGCAGAAATCAAACACTCAGGTAATATTTTTTTAGAGTGAACGATCGAACTCGTTAATAGTATATACCTAATTGAATGATTATTATTGTTATTCAAATATGGTTGAGATAAGTGTTTTTTTTTTTTTTTTGTATAGTTTAAAGGTTTTATTTTTTTTATCATAAAATATTTTCAGAAAATGGGTTTTAATTTTTTTCTCATGTTTTCAGAAAATACTCAACAATATTTTAATACTATCGTTCTAATGAAAGCATTAAACATACATTTCACGTCGATTGAAGTAGGTCAATTACGGAAATTGAATTTTTATATAAATTATTATTATCTTTACGTCATGTGCTGTCTCTTTTTTCAATCGTCCCCACCCTTCGACCGTCCCATCTGTGTACATATAATATATATTATACTTGCGAAAAGCTATATAGCTGCAGACCACAACGGCCATCGTTTAATTAAATATGTAGACTATTTTATGCAGGCATCCAAATATTTTTAGCATAATATTATTTTATCATATTTCAGCGCATACTGCAAATGTGTATACGCACTATACATATTTTAGCATTTTTTAGTGCATCGACTGCGTATGCTTATTACATTGCAGGCTTTTAGGGCGTCAACATATAATATATTAATATACGCAAGCTCGAAATGTATTACATTATTACTGTGGTTTCGACCGCACAACATCAGAGTTGCTATACATATTATTATACATTATATATTTCTCGGTATATTCTCCAGAGGTTTCTACGATATGTACCTAATTCATTATACACTGCAGTGCCAGGAATCTGGATTCGGATATCCAGATTTCAGATCACGGGATATATTTCATACCTTGATATGTGTGAAATTAACTTGTATAACACTATTTTTTTTTCACTATAATATAACGTCCTTATTTCAACTGAGTGTTGGAAATATATTTGTGAATCGTAAGGAGTAAACCAGTGAGATCAGTTTTTTCGATCCAATCTCATATTGTATCATATAGACCGGATTGGTAAATAGAAAAACATAAGTTTGTAAACGAAAATAATATAATACGGATATGGTTATACGTCCTGGTACTCACTGATTCTGGTGATGAGGTTGGTCTTCGACAGCTCCCGGAGGGTGCACCCGGGCTGCAGTGGAAAACCTCCGTTCGGGAAAAAGTCAGCGTGACCTAGGGCCACCGGAAATCCGAATACACCTCCGTCGGTGTGTATCACGTCCACGAACTCGGCGTCCGAAGGCGTTAGATGTCCCATCTTGCCCGTCCACATGTACAGCGGAAAAGCGGGGTCGAGTCCTGCAAATAAGGGATGAAAGTGGGGTGTTATAAAATCGACTTTGACTCGGAACGGTCAAAATTGCATCAAATATCGGAATCGAAATTTGTAATTTTTTGATATCGAATTGATCGTGTAATATTAACACGTCAATATCCAAATACATAACAGTGTGATTGTCTGAGCTCCTGTGGCGATACCAAAATCATTTTTTTCAAATGAAACCCACGTGTTTTAACGTTGTAAATCGTAGTGGATCAAATGATTTTTCTGTTGACGTATGAAAATCGAAATTTGAAAGAAAAGTTGCCGAGTTATACCACTTTAAATACTATGAGGACAATTGTCTAGTAAATACTTTGAAAACAGATACGAGCTCTGTAGTTGTGTAACAATTAAGTATACAATAAAAAATATTTGCTAACAATAGTTAATACGACTTAGTCGAATATATTTTTTAATGTTACAAAAAGCTTATGGATTAATATTGTACTCAATAATTTTTAAATGAAAAGTAAATAATACCATTTTTACCCAATTATCCTCAATATTTAAAGAGTAATAACTCGGAAACTTTTCGTTCAAACTTTGATTACGATACGTCAACATTTTCAGAAATATCATCTGATTTACAATTTGGGTTAAGATATGTAGGTTCTCATTTTAAAAACCAAAGTTAGTATCGCTACAAAATACTCCTCAAAAAGTTGTGGAAAATCTAAGTACACAAAAAATGTTGTCTATAGAAATACTAAAAATTAAAATTGGGTGAGAATATTTAAGAAATATTATCCTGTAATCTGTATAGGTATATCCACATTTTTTAATTTAGTCAATTTATTTATTTTTCGTGTATTTGTATTTACTTATAGGTAGGTTCACTGGTCTAGTAGGCACTACTATACTATCATAAATTAAATCATGATAAATTAATTTTAAATTAAAGTGTTTCATAAAATACATAATAATGGATCTCATTATTCAATTCAATAACAACAAATCTCAACAAATATAATATGGATATAAGGAGTTCTTAAATAAATATTTAAAAATAAATGTATTTTTAAAACATTACCCGTCGATTCATCATTCATGAATCCCACGCCTATAAAGCGGGTCTAACATTATTTCGCATTTTAAGGGGGTGTTTCGGGAATTCGATGTTATATTATATTAAATGCGAACGAATGTAATACCCATTGGCCATTACCCATTATCGTATTAAAATGTAAAAACTTACGAAGGTAAATATTATATGGAGGACAAAATTACAGTTGGTATAAATTAACCAAATCTCAATAAATTACGAATTGTGTAAAGTATATATTATGGCCACCGATACTAAAAAGTAGTAAAAAAATTAAAAAAGTAAAAACTCTCGAAATGTTTGACCATCATGTAGGTACTTATATGTATTGCATCCTATATATTATACAGAAGTGTATTGCAGACTGCAGTCGTAGGTATAATACTTGATTATCGTAAAGACGAACCAGCAAACGTACTCGTAACATATAATATCACTGCCACTCAAAATAATCTTCATAAAATATTATAATTAAAAGATTTGAAATTTGCTGCTGCTGAACAGAGCGATGAATGCATTGGTCTTTACAATGATGTGTGACCATTTTTTTTTTTGTGAAAATTGAAAACTAGATATAATGATATAGTTTTTAAAATATTTTTATTTTTTTTTTTAGTTATTAAAAGCACAGTCCTATTCACACAATATTATAAGGTCCGTCGATATTGAATTATATGTGATGTTTTTATAAATTACGCTTGTACAAGTAAATACATTTTTTATTCTTGAGAATTTAAGAATTTTAAATCGTGAGTTATCCGTAATCTTCATGTTATTATAAAAATATTTTTTACTTTTATCGTAACATATAACCATATAATATTATATGTCGCAGTGTGATCATTTTTTTAGGGTAAAAATAAGTACCTACTCAACTGGATCGTATTCATAAAATCAAAACTGCAGGGTTTATTTTTTCGACAGCCTAATTATATGAGTCGCTGAGTAAGTAAAAACAATCGTTTAACCTCTCCCGAATGCAACCGAAATTTACATTGTAACCATATACGCGGGCCATTTCACCTACAACTATACTATTATTATAATATTATAGTTTGTTTAATATGAGAACAATATATAATGACAATAATAATTTATTATAATATTATCGCACGCGCACAGGTGTTAGTTTAACCCGGCGGAGACGATTTCGTCGTCGCCATCAACCGCGAGGTACCTATTATAATATTATTATTTTACCCGATGTGGGTATAAACGTGGTGCAGCTATAAAATCCAGAGTGTTGTAAGGTGGTGGGTTACACATAATTCCCGGTCGTGGCGATGTGTGTGGGTAGGTCGCGAATATTATTCCTCTCGCGTAGCTCGCATAAAACCGTTTGTCGTTTACGTAAATCATTATTATAATAATAATAATATTATGTAATTATTATCATCGCTCGTTTCTGCCACCCGTTTTTGCGGGTTGCACAAAATCTTCTGACTAAAGCCGCTGCTGCGGGTATATATAATAATAATATATAATGCAGAAAACCACCGCCCGTTTACCTATATATATATATATATATATAGACCGAGTGTGAGCTTTTTAATTATTCGCCTTTGAGAAACAGTATATATTTTGCGCCTTTGTCTCACGCGAACTTATTAATATTGTAATAACCGAGTCACACGTGCCGATTTTTCAGCACGACATCGCCGACGACGATTACATGAATTAAGATGATAATTAAAATTGTATAACGTAGGTACTATGAGGGAGAAAACGAAACCACACATTAGATAATATATCGTATAGACAAATCGTCACTGCGCAGTCGCAGCAGACAATATGTTTTTATTGCATCCTTGTGCAGATTTCGTTTTAGGGGGCGTTTTGGTTTATCATGTTTAAATATAATAATATAACGTGTGAGGGGGGGGGGAACTAACAATATATTGTGCTCATCATTCTTCATATTAATATCAAATACGAAATGGAATCATATTAGATATACGACAACGCGTTTTCTAGAAATTTTAATCACATTGGTAGGTATACATATTATATTTTTTCAATGAACATGGCCGTAGAGGACACTTCCAACACCCAAAACACCCTCCTGGCTACTGCACCGAAATATTTGTTTACATCGGTTTTGGTGGACATATTATCGGCAACGAGCAAGCTGATTTAAAATAATAATCCCGATCGATTATAGTCTGAATAACGCGATCATCTATGTTTTTATCTTTGTATATTATTAGAATATTATTATACCTATATAAGTATAGGGGGTCCCAGCAGAAGCGGACTTTTTATTGAAGCCAGGATTTTTTCGTTTCTGGGTAGACAGCAATGTTCCAATGTTTTTCTTATCTTAGAACATCCTCTATTTGTCATCGCAAAGCAGTTTTTGGATGGAGAGGTTCACAGTTAAACAACTCGTAACTATAGTGGAAACGCACTACAAGTGCGGAGAAGTGTGTCGCGGAAACGTCGCGAAAGCTTCGGACGAAACAATGCGCCGACGCGAGCGACCGTCGCAAAATTGTCGAATTTGGGAGACAGAAAACCCAAGAAAGATCCGAAAACGCCCCTAAGTTTTCTCAACTTTTCCGCGAAACACTCTCTGCACTTGTATTGCGTTTTCACCATTGTTACGCGTTGTTCAACTGTGATTCTCTCCGTGACGACGAGTACCAAAAACTGCTCTGCGATTACAAATGGGGGGGGGGGGGTGTTATAAGATGAGAAAAACATTTGAACAGTGCTGTCAACCCAGAAACGAAAAATCCCGGCTTCCTTAAAAAGTCCGCTTCTGCTGGGGGACACTATATATTATCTGACGCAATTGAAAAAAATTATAATATTATCGTCTAATCGAATTGAGTACCTCTATATATGACGTCATCGTATAATAATATTATTGTTATTGGACTTTTCGTGTTCGTTAGTAGGCACGTTACGGAAACACTTTTCCCATCGAAACTTTGTTCATTTGCATTTGACTACAATATCGGAGTTGGAAAAGTTTGCGTGCCACGTATACTTTATAAACGAGTATTTCAAACTATCGTGTATATAGTTATAATTACTAAAAATCATTTCGAACAGATTTAAAGAGATGCGCTGGAAACGAACGATATTGATTGATTATCGTTATTCTTTCCGTGTGGGTACACTATAAAGTTTAAAAGTTAAAAATATAAGTTTTTTTTCCCCCATTAATAATTTTCCAGGGTATTTTTAAAAACGATAAATTCTGCGTTATTATTTCGGAGGTAAACTCATTGATATCGTTAAAATGTAATAATATTACAATACTTTTATCACGATAACCGTATACAGTGAATAATGAATTGATGTACAAACTATTATTATTATTACATAATGTTCGTATAATATTGACGTTTGACATTGATAATAAAATATACTTAACAGTTTTATTGTATTTTTATTATTATATAGTATCTGTTACCATAAAATATGTTATTTTCAAACAACAATAATATATTTAAACTATAAAATATGTCATAAAAATTGACATTTGATATTTGAACATACTTAATATCGATTGTAAAAAAAAAAAAAATAATCATAAAATCTAAATAAACGTAATACCTAAACACAATATTATTATATTTAGGTAGGTATTTAATTTGTTATTTTATTTTTTTTATTTCTCATTTACTGTAAATTCTGTATTTGCACTATTCGGAAGCAATTTTATGCTTGAAATCAGAGTATTAAACACTGTAGCGTTATTCTAAACGACTTTTGATTGACTACCGAAAACATCAGATTATGTTTAAGCATTGCCATTAAATGTTGAAGAAATATGAAAAAATAAACGATAACTTCAATGGCGTAATCGTGATCAATTATGTGTAAAAAATATAAAATGTGTACCTATTGGTCACCTTATAATATGTAACAATGTGTAGCTGATAAGTACACATACAATAGTCTTAGTCAATGTAAATAAAAACTGCTTAAATAATTATTTTGAAGACATCGTGTAGTAGTAGTCGTAGTAGTTTCTCAAAACTCAATAATTATATTTAAATATTAATTAATTTTCAAAAAATTATGGTAAACATTTCAGGAGCGTAGGTAATTTGATTTTGATTTTAGTTTTAAATAAATTTGAATAAATTTAAAACTTTGTAGGGCCATTCACCAAAATTGTTTATTTTATGCGACACGATTAATTTTAATTTCCTGTTTTCAAGAACAATATTCAGAAGTGAAACATCACGTTTTTAATTAGAGTACACTTCACAATCATAAAATATGTTACTGCGTTTATCCATATAAAATAATTATGTTTGATACTATAATATTATTCTTTGAGAAAAAAAAGTCTTTTGAGAAAATATTTTGCTATAACTTATAAGGCATCGTATTCAATATTATACATCCCTCTATTATACTATTATATTATATATAAATTAAGTAACTACCTACAATCTAAATACGTACTAAAGCCATCTAAAGAATATCGAGACATATTTTTTATTATTATAATTAGGTATATGTAGTTAAAAATTAAAGTTGAAAAGATTAACTGGCGAGCACGTAAGTAATAGTAATTACTAATGTAGCGACGGGTTTAATTTTATTGTATTATTAAAATTAAATCGACCTAATATTTTGTGAGAACATAATATACAAACACTGTCTATATGTATTTAATCAATAGGTACCTACCTACTCGTATTCATATGATAAAACTTGGATAATATGTAATTTTGCAAAAACAATAGAAATATAGCAACTCATACTGATTCAGACCAACAATAATTGTGTCGGTGCGGATAAAAGTCTATCACGCCCATATTTAATCAATGTGGGTGTACTATTATAGGTAGGTATTACTGACCTGTGATTCTTGGAAGTTTTCCGATTTTCAGATTCTTGCCGGTGAACCCGGCTATTTCCGCGCCCAGACTAAATCCAATTAAATGTATTTTGGACAGATAGAATCTTCTGGACACTAAATATTCGATGAACGTGGCCAAGTATTTAGCGACTATACGTGTATTGAGCACTGCGTGACTGTACCACGGAAATGCGCACATCGGACTCCAATCGACTATTATAATATTCACTCCTCCTCGGTGCAAATACGCTGCAAACATTTACACCGCCGTTTTCAATCGCTTTAAAAGTATCGGAAACTCTCACAAATTCGTAACCGTCCGGATAATTTACAAATGTATGTATTTTTTAATGATACCTTTTTTTATGGTCTCCGCACCCTTGGAGTTTCCCTGCTCCGTAAACCCGTGGACGTAGATGACTGTGGTCAAATTTTGCATCATATTGGCTCCCCGCAGGGAGACATCGTCGCCGATGTATATGCGTTTCGGACGAAAAGGGTTGTTCCTGGACAACATCATTTTTGTTTTTCGATTATTGTTATTACTATTATTATTTTTTATAGTGACATATAGCAATATAATAATAGCAAGAATAATAACAACACAACAGTAATAAAACGGACACACGCATATATATATACGTAAACGCACACATATAAAATATTATTATATTATATACGAACATACACAAACACACACAAACATACATGCACAAACATACACACACACACACACACACACACACACACACACACCTCGAATATGAAAAAAATGCGATGTCCTCTTTTTCGTTTATTGGACAACAACCTTCGCATCGACCCCTGGGCGTCATTGTAGCGGAAAATGGATTTTTACCTGAACGATAAAATTGTGGTTTCACAGTTTGCTCTACATCATTCAAAAGTCCGACTCACCCCAAAACAACGTGAAGGTCATGCATGCCATCATGCCTAGGGCCACCATGATTAATTGGCATCACAGAACATCGATATACCTATCACAATATTGCAGGTTTGGTAACGGTAAATTAATAGTTGAACGAATAAAAAAAAAAATTATAACTATCGCACACAATTTTCGGCTATAAGACGTGTGTTTAACGTGAGAAAAAAAATTAACGTCTACCACCGAATACGCGTTAGCTGAATGGGAAACATTACTAAACGTTTCGTTGCTTGCAGGGCTTCGTTTATGTATTTTTTATCTCCCCGCCAGCTCCTCTACACCCAAGGTTAAAGCTAATGGAAATTCGCAAATAACAACAATGACAAATTCTTCTGAAACTTAAATGCATTTTGTTTATTTGGAGTTGGTTTTACATAACAGTATGGGCAGTACAACCCATCAACACGCGTTCAGCCGAAAATTAATTACAAATAATTGATACATATAAATTATTGTTTAGATGAAAATAAAACCCGACAATACTTATATTATAATTTATAATGCTTACCCACGTTTAAATTGTGTTTTGTACTCATACGATATTATGTCATACAACATAAACTATTGATAATATATTGTATATCAGACGCACACTGCACATGGATATGAATTCGCATTGTGATCGCTATTTTTAATTATTATATTGTCGTAAGTCTGGCACCTATATAATATACTCTGTTGCGTTCGCGACAGGGCGAACGATTACGGGTAATATAATAATAATAATAATAATAATATATTTTCGTCCTTGGAGAAAATATTATATTCACCGATACGAAAACCATGACCACAAAATTTAATGTCGCGTTCCAGTCACCCAAATACGAATAATGAAAAAAAAAACAATTTCGCAGATACCTTATATTATTATTATTATCTCTTTGATACGGGAAACGCATTAAAACGCATCGCACGAGACGACAAGTGCACTCGTCGGGGAAAACAAAATAACATAATATCGGACGAAATGAAAAACAAAACGTACCGGACGTGAACGCGACGAGTGTTTTCGATAGGTAAATACAAACAAAAAAATATGTGTGCGCACGAGGATAATAATAATAAATGATAATGATAATAATAATATACTTTTCGAGAGAGAACAACGGCGTAACCAGCGTACTATATAGTCACTGTCCTGTTTGTGTATGAGTCGAAATAAACCCTAACCTACACCCACTAATATTATTATATTGATATTATATTATTGTATGACATAATATGATTATATAAATTATAATGGAATATCGTCTGCGGCATCATATACAGACATTTCGTCGTGATTTTCCCAGGATCACTCGCGCGTTGTCTTTTACGCAATTGCTCGCGTGTTAGATTTTTTCTAACATACCGTCAACTCTAAACTGAAAATAATTGTCAAATAATGTTATCTATCTTCCATTATGATATTATTAGTTCTATAGTGATATAGATATAGCATTGATGAAAGGAGAACTATTTATCATTTAATCGATTATTGTTATTCTAAAAATAAAATGAATGTTAGATTATTTCTAACAGTGCGAGTTATCGTGTGTTAAAATGACGTCTGTAGGTACCCCCTACTCCTATATCGTATAATATAATATATTATGTCCACATTATAACGGCGGCGGAGGTACGATATATGTATGAAAAAAAATGGTGCGAATTTTCGCGCTTTCCTCACGTCCTTGCGCAGTGTGGAAAACGGAGCCCGATATTCCAGTGGCGGAGGCGGCGGAAGGGGGCGAAAAAAATATTATTAAAATAATAAACACAAAAAAAATACCATATATTATTATTACAGACAACGCGTCGCCGCCGATTTACGACAGTTCATTATCGTTTAACACGGTAAAATATATATATAATTGTATTATAATATCGCTTCCGAACCAATACGATATATATATATATATGAGAATAGGTACGTGTGTCGAGGCAATTAATTTGATACGGCCGACGAGCTCGACGGTTTCGACACTCCGTGACAGTATATATTTATGATTTATTATAATATGTTTACGTTGACCGCCACGATATCCATAATAATATTATTTTTATAGACTCGATTGCCATAACGGCGCGATTTATGTAACGTAAGTAAATATCAAACGTTTTTTCTTTACAATATATACCTATATATTATAATGTCTTTAGTATATTACAATATTATATCGACTTCCGACCGAATCGACGTAGGTACCTACTCGTATATTAAAATTTTATGGCGGTGGTCGATTTTTGTCATTTATTTATTTACACTCGTTTTTACAAAATCTATAATCGTTTTTGGAAAAATATTTTTCTTTTATAAGTCATCAACAAGTATATATAAAAAAAAAGTGTTGTAGTTCTCAGTTTTTACTATTTTTCAATGACGGCAAATATGCAATTTCAGACTCCTAGTTTCAAAGCAGAATATTTTTTTATTTTTTTTGACGTACTCTGGTAAATAAATATCGAATTTGACACCATAAGTGGTACCCTACTAAAACGTTCACTACTCCGCTCACCTAAACTTTAAATATTAACTATAACTAACAAACCACTAGTCCAAAATTTAATTTTTAGAAATATAAACACTACGAATAATATTCTTTTTCGAATTAAAAATATGAGTTGTTAATCCAAAGAGTAAAAACTTAAAAAATTAGTAACGATAAGAAACAGTAAAAATATAATTTTTTCCACACATTTTGTTATGTAGCGATTAATTCAACTCACGTACAATAAATAATTTCAAAAACATCTGTGTTTTCTGAAATCACGAGTGCCTCACGTTAAATATGGAACACTCCGGAATATAGAGCAGATAGGTACTAGTTTTTAACGAGAAAACCGCTCAAATTTTAAAGCACCAAGCCGATATAATAGTATTTAGAACAGATGCGTGTGATGTAAAAATAATAATATGTGCCGCATGCCATCGAGCTGTAAAGGTACCTTTGTGCATATTGTTTGTATAATATTAATTGTCATAATGTCATAAACAATTGGGACACCTGTTCCACCGCTGACTGTTAGATAAATTATATAGATAATAATATTTACTTTTTAGTTATCCGGCTAAAAAATAATTGTGCATATCTTTTTATCTATCTGTGTTCAAAATTAAATTGTTATCTGAGATTTGTTATCTAGATAAATTTTTGTGACGAGACTTTCGTTTTAACTTATAAATAATCTTTTTCGTTGTGGGTAGTCGTTTAAATCGCCGATTTATTTGACTTGATGTTCTTTTATGTATATTTATTAGGTGTGTTTTACTGTAGTGATTTCGTACTATGTACTGTATGTATGTAACCGACGGGTAATCGTATTCAAAATACCCATATTATATTATTTATGAGTGTAAACATTCAAACTTAAATATGTATTGTTATATTTATATTTTATAGTAAAAATGATGTTTATGCTGCTTTTAAATTACCCGTTTTTTTATCTAGATAATAGATAACCAAATATTTCAATGAACTATCTGTTATTTTATCTATACATTGTTGTTGGGTTATCTTTGACCCTAATAACGTTATGCAGTTCACGAATCGATTGGGTCGATAAATTCAAAGTTTTTTTTCACGTGTTCCGTGTACGAAAGTTCGTTGTCGACGACCATTTGTTATAATAATATATAATTATTGTCTTACAAAGATAATCACAATCACCGCACTTTAGCGTGAAGGTCTTTAAAGTTTATTTGCTAAAATCAAAACACAAATGCAATACGCATGCGCAGTAATATGGACTGCAGTCAACAGATGAGATAACTGCTAACATTATATTGTTACTATATTATATACTATTGTTATTATTATAATCCGGACATGCGAATACCTGTATACCTGCACCGCCCACCACCGTAGCCACCGGTCGACAACAATCATACTTAATACGCAAAATTATCGTTGAATCCAAAAACCGCACATTTTAGATTAAGTACAGAACATAACCGCACTCTTCTAGTAGGTTAAAAACGCACATTTTTTTTAAACACTGTTGTAGTGACCCCAAAACTAACAATTTTAAATGCTAATACCTACTGAAAAACATATAAATATATATTATATTTAAATGTAAAAATAATTCTCGTCACCTTTTGTACCCACCACAATAATTACATTATAGAATTATATATTTTTTTTTACAACCACAATTTCCAGTTATTTGCAGACAAGAGTTATTTTTTCAGTAAATGTTTTCAATGTAAAGAATACGCATCTCCTGGTCTGTAGATTAAAAACATTTTTGTGGTATTTTGCTACTTATCCAATCAAACGATAAAATGAGCCAGTGGCGTGTATCATAAAACAAATTGGTGTTGCTCAAATAATTTTAGTAGACCTACCCCTCATAATACTGTAATACCGGCCTATAAAATTACCTATTTTTTCATCTATAAACACCCACCCACCCTTATTTAAGGTGTTGCCCGAGCAACACTTAGACGCTATGTTACACGCCACTGAAATGAGCGGTTTTTGGTGGTAAGCAGCAGTTCGCATAATATCCATTTGAATAATAAATATGTTTAAAAGAAGAAAAAAGTATTTACTATACATAATATAATAATGGTATAATCATTGTTTTTATGACAACAATAATTCCGTTTCACCGTCTCTTCGGACGAGTGTTTTTGTCGTCATAGTGGTTGGATAGTGGTTGTATCATAAACGTATAATATAATATTATATTATACGTCTATGTGTTGGATGGTGGCTGATTCGATTTAGTCGTAATATTCGCCTAAACATGCCATTATTAAATTGTTTTGTTTGTTTCGTACAGTAGAGCCACTTGTTAGTTTCGGACGATCCTTTTACATTTTCATTTTACTTTTGTTTTTACAGGACAAACTGTTGAACAAACTAGACGAGAAAGAACAAGACGAAGCGAAAACGCCGGAAGAAGAGGTGGGTTCGACACTTATTCGCTCTAATAATAATAATACTATGTACACCCATACCCTATGATATTCATTAAACATACATACGGGGTGCTCCATTTAACGCTAGACACTCATTCTCTTTCAGAAA